ATTTGTTTTTCTACCTCAGCTCGGCTTCGCAACTCTCTGGAATAGAAACGGAGGAAGAGACGAGTAATGAACGAGTGGCTACTTACAAGGTTGGCATGTTAGGTGCGTCCGGGGTTGGTAAAACCGCTTTAACGGCGCAATTCACGACCAGCGATTACATTTGCGCTTACGATGCTTCCTTAGGTAAATAATTCCACAGAAATGTTTTATCGTTGTAAATAATTCCAACGATTTTTGCTTTTTCAAAAGTAAACAATTTTAAATTATTTAAAATAAAATTATGCAATATACGAATATAAATATAAAATATAAAATACAAATAAAATTTAAATAAGTTCTCTTTCAGATGAGGAGTACGGTCAGAAAAGTGTTTCCGTTATGCTCGACGGTCAAGAAACTGAATTGGAAATCATTGATCATCCGACCTCGGAAATGTCGGTAAGCAAACATCGTTAGTAATCAAAAATAAGATCTAATATGAAAATTCGTTAGATCGTTCTCATGATTGAAGTTCGACATTTTATTGATTCGAGGTCGAGTCTTTTTGTTCAACTTACAATCCAGATGTCTACGTGGTCGTCTACTCTGTAGTAGATCAAAGGAGTTTGAAAGTAGCAGAGGAAACTTTACTTTATCTATGGAATAGTGACTATATGGTAAATCACGGTGTCATCCTAGTCGGGAACAAGGTTGATCTTGAAAGGAAACGGGAGGTTCTCTCTGTAGGTAAGTAAATCCGTAGGAACTTTAAACTTTCCAATTACATTTATGCCAGGCAACTTTGTCGTAAAGAGAAAGAGATAATGTCATCTCGTATCATTTGACGAGGATCTTGCTTTTATTGTCAGTGCTAAATCGAAAATCGAAATTACATGCAAAATTTTGCAATTTACATATTTCATATACAGGATAGAATACAATAACGGCGTATCTTCATTAACTTCGAAACTATTATCGTCCAAATAGCTAATCCTTCAAAATGTATTCGCGCGTCCGTAATTTGATTTTATATAGTTATTTTGTTTTTATAGAATATATATTATTATATAATATATTTATTTATTTGTTTAATATATTATTACGTTAATTTATTAATAAATATATTTTACTAGAATTGATCGTATGCTCACTCTTCCCTCGTAATTTTCTTCTGCTTATTTTTTCTTTGTTTGTTGGAACAATTGAACATCGATTCGCCATATCAATGCTACATTTATCGATGAAATAATCGAATTGTTTGGTGTCAATACTATATATGTGCCACTGGCGATCGATTTTACTTTTTCACCGATTCTCGCGTAAACATATAAATATAAAAAGTATTCGCCATTGTAGAAAATGATAAAATAAGAAATTCATGTGAACGAGCTCTTATCGTCATTTTTCCGAGTAGAAATTGCGAGTTTTAAAATGTTTTCTCAAGAAAAAACGTAACAGTTTTTCACAATAGAATTCTAACACGAACCGCAACTGTTACTCAAGAGGAAATCCTTAAAGTTATAAACTTATATTTATCGTACGCTTCTTTGATAATTCTACGTAAAAGTGATTGCGCGGTATTAAGCCTACAAAACTTGATTAAAACATAATAGATATTCTCATCTTAAGAAGAAACAGTAATCTCCCATGAAATATTATTATATTCTTAGTTAAAAAAAGAAAAGCAAAAAAACTCACATTTAAATTATCAGAATTATGTTCTCTCCGGAAATGTGAAATTTAATAAGAACAATTTTGAAATTAATGAAGGTGCTGATCTTACATTTTCATATTTTAATTTATAAATAATCTGTTTTATTAACAAATTTTAAACATACATATCTATACACGGTCATACTTGTATTCACTTATTTATAAACTTTATAAACAGGCATATATACACATACATAATATATATATATATATATATATATATATATATATATATATATACATGAACTATATGTGTATATATGTATATAATATATTGAATATAATTTATTATAACAAACCTGAAATAAAAATCCAGTAAAGCTTCTTGATTACGTTGACAGTCGGCCGACGCTTAGCGAATAGATGGAACTGCAAATTCATCGAAACATCATCGGGATTGGATCATCATGTCGATGAACTCTTAGTTGGTATCCTGGCGCAAATCAAATTAAATCCTCAACGTGATCGAAATCAAGCTACGAGACAAAAAAAAAGTAAACATCGCAGGAGAATCTTAAAAAATTTGCTCGGTTTCAAGCGGAAAACTAAAAGCTGCGAGAATCTCTTCGTCCTTTAAGAATCTCTTTATTTTATTCTTAAATGCCCAAAGACAGTAAGTCGATGTATAAATTGCATGAGAAGATATAATATATATTCAATAAATAGTATCTTCATTTTCATCGATCTTCGTGAATATCATAAAAATTATTAACATTATCAACTAATGTTTCTAGAAATTCAAAATACTAAACACGAATATTTATAATTGTTTGACATCAATTATAACGATTGATACGATTATAACAATATTCTCATGGATCGATTAAAATAAGATATCTTGTGTAAAAAGTGAACTGTACAATTATTGACCACTGCATACTGCATACACATTCAATATGACCAATCAGTCTGGCCGATTTCCAAGTGGTGACTAATAAAAGTTCTGCTTCCTTTATACTTCATCGAAAAGAAGAAATATATATATAATTATTTATTATATATATATATATATATATATATATATATATATATATATATATATATATATATATATATATATATATATATATATAGACGTGCGAATTGATGAATTGCTACGTAACATTATGTGTAATTTCTCAAACGCATTCTGTATTTATTTTTAATATGACTACCAATAAGAATACGACAATGTTGAATAATGAAGCAACGAAGAAAAATGATAGTTCATTACGCAATAAATCATCGATCTTATTCCAGATAATAGATTTCTTTCGTTGTGTCGATATTTCGACGATATCGTAAAACATAATAAACTAAAGAAACAGAAATGACCGTAAATCTTACCATATATGTGTGCATGGTATGTTACCGAAAAAAAAGTCGAAAAATTACTTTCAATATTAAAAAATCTTCCAGAGAAGTACGTGATATCTGAAGAAGCGGTCCAAAAATAATATACAACAAATAAAAACAGGTTAAATATGTATAACGATAGATCGTACAAAGATGTGAATTGTGCCAAAGGCGTACCAAAAATAAAGAGAAAAAAGAAAAAAAAAGAAAAGAAACGTTTCTTATTCGTTTCTTTCTATTGCCGAGCCTATTTTTTCTATTTTGTTTGAACAAACAAAACTTCGTTAACGAACCAATTTTCTGATTTTGATTAAAAAAAAATAAAAAATAAAAAAAATAAAAAACAAAGAAAAGTATCGAAATCATCATTATTTTGAAATATCTACTGAATGTACACATTTGTATGACAACACGCGCACGCGTAAAAGAATGGCTCGATAACTTGCTTTTCTCACATTCCATCCACACGAACCCGTGATCTCGTTATAAGATTCTATTTTCAAATCGTCCGAATACTGAGAACTTACCTTCGAAAGTTCTTCGTTATTCATAAATAATACAGTTCGTATGATCGAATACTAATCTATTACACTCCACGAAATAATATTAATGCGTACTTCTCATTGACATAAGATAATTTTGCATAATATATTTTGCATAATATATATTTAATATTATAATCATTATTATCGTTATTTTTATTATTATTATTAATATTCCAAGTAATCGAAGAAACTTAATTTATATATATATGTGTTACATTGATTTATATATATATATATATATAAATATTTAAAAATGGATCTCGTTAACGTTTTGCTTATACTTTGTTAATTATTTATAAATAAATAAATATTAATTTTCAATCAGAGAACGAAGGTATGTTTTATTTTAAAGATATATATTCTCACGATTAATTTGATTAAATACATACAACGTTGTATTTAAAAAATATAAAATATCAATCATTTCTTTTATCAACTTGTGTTATTGTAAGAAATCTAATATAGCATTTCTCTAGTTTTATCAAATTAAGGATTATTTATCAAATAAAGGATTATACGTAGCAGTTAGTAAAAACAAGCACGAGAATAAAACCAGACAAAAATGATTATGTTCTTTTGATAAGCATTACGTCGAAACATTCTTATTACGGGCGTCGCAACATCATCATTTTTCAAGTAGCTTTTGTCCTCACAACCACTTGACCTCCCGTTAACTGCTCTCACCTACGCTATGATTTGTCATAATGTTGTTCGTCGTTATTCGGACATCTTCGGTTGCGGTCGATCTAAAATTGCAGGGAGACTTTTATTAGGTTCGATTCATTTCCGGCTGAGTTCATTCTCGTTCGACCCAACTTAACATTCACTCACACTTATTCTTTCTCTTCCTCCCCATCTTTTCTTTCCTTTTCTTTTTCAATGAAGTAGTCGTCCTGATCAATGATCTGTTTTATCTCGTTATATAACAAGCACAAAATAAAAAGAAACAGTTCTGTAAACCTCATCAATAAAATCTAAATGTCTCTTCACGATTCACCCGTAATTTCTCTCTCTCTCCCTCTCTCTCCTTTTATGGACGAATCATATATTTCTTAACCGAAATACAAGAATATAATCTTCCAGTTTCATTATAGTTTTCTTTCAAATAGCTATTTACTGTGAATGCACATGTAAAAAATATATAATGTACGTACAGATATATATATATATATATATATATATATTTATTTATTTATTTATTTAAATAAAATGATTATTAGACTTGATCTAAAAGTAGCACTTGAAACCTTCTTTTATGCTCCGGGCAAATTTCAAAATGTTTCGCTCCAATGTTTCTAATGTACAATTATCGATATTTTTTTAAGAAACGTCTCTATGAAAAGATAAAGAAGCCCATATCACTTTACTCTTTTTATTTTGTCTCTCTGTCTGTTTCTCTTTTCGTCTGTTCAATCGTATTTTGAAAAATCAGCAAATGCGAGGGTAGCATGGTAATGGACAGCACGGTGGACAGCAAGGCCTTGGGGGAGGCGGAAGTGGTGGTGGTAATGGACATAATGGAGGTGGTAAAGGACAAGGACAGCAGGGTCCTGATGATAAAGGCAAACAGCATGGCGGTGGTGGACAACACACAGGTCTCTGACATGGAGTGATACAGCCAATCTCTTGAATTCTAGGTGGTAATATTACACGACATATTGGTTGTGGTGGAGCGGGCGGACATTTGCTATAAAATGATATTTCGATAGATTTTATGAAATTCAAACATTGAATTCAAATCAACATAAAATAAATTATTTTATAATGTAAAAAAAAATGTTTATACATATACTAGCATTACCAACAATCGATAGCACAGAGAAGATACTTTAATTCTTCCATATCGTTCCAACATGGCGACGTCTTTTTTTTAATATTACAACTCATTTTATTAATGTTATGAATGATATATTTTGTAATTCTTTATACTTGAATTTAGAGAAACAAAGTCTAGGTTATAAATGTTGAAGAGATTTAAACGAATCGAAAATTATGAAAAAATCGATACTCGATACCTCTATATATAACAACGGCACTATCTTATAAATCGATTACATAAATTTGTTTAATTATGCGTTTATATTACTTTCTCAGATTGTGAATTTTATATACTTCTTAATATTCTTTTCTTGATCAGAGAAACATTCAGATAGTATTTGCATTGTGTTATTATATATATATATAATTATACTAAAAGATGTCTATGTCTAATAAATCAACTGTTTACAAACGAGCAATGTTACTGATCGCATCGTACCTTCCCCAAAGATTTCGTCCTATATTTTTACATCCTGCAGGTAACATAAATAAAATTTCTTATAATTATTTTTTACCTTATTCGTTTTCTTGCAGGACCTACAACAATATTTTTCTGGGCTCCAACTTTTAAATGGGGTTTAGTAATCGCAAATGTAGGAGATATTAATCGTCCTGTAGAAACGATCTCTCTTAGTCAAACCGCCAGTCTTATGCTAACAAGCGCAATATGGTCAAGGTCATATATATTAGCATATTATATAATTGCTTCATATTTTGTTATTAATCTTCTATCTATTTAAATCTCATTAATTCAAGCAGATACTCGTTGGTAATTAAACCAAAGAATTATAATTTATTTAGTGTGAATGCTTTCACATGTGCCACAAGTAAATACCTTTTTGGTAGAGCTTTATTACATCGCATGGAGCAAAAGAAACAAAAATGATATAATAAAATTGATATAATTCGGAAATTTATCATCATCTATTAATGTATGAAAGATATGAATGAAAAAAAAAACAACATACGTAAATAAACATTTATTATATAAAATTATTTAACAGTAATACTGACAATACGAATATCGTCATAAGGTTTATCGGTCTTAGGGTTCGTTTTTACTTGACTAATATTTTGTACTACTTCCATTCCTTTGACCACCCTTCCAAATACAGTATGTTTATTATCCAACCAAGGCTGAAAGTCAAATAATATCAATATTAATAAAAAAATAAATAAATTTATGATTTAATGATATCAAAATGACAAACTTACTGTAGGTGTTAATGTGATAAAAAACTGACTTCCATTTGTATTTGACCCTGCATTTGCCATACTTAAAGTATATGGTCTGTCATGTTTTAAGTGAGATCTAAATTCATCTTCAAATTCACCACCCCATATACTTTCACCACCTGTCCCAGTTCCAGTGGGATCTCCAGTTTGTATCATAAAACCCTTGATTACTCGATGGAATATATGTCCATTGTAGTAACCATTTTTAGAATGAACGCAGAAATTTTCAACTGTTTTTGGTACATCTTTACCAAAGAGATTTGCATGGATATCACCAAGTGCAGTATGTATAATTGCAGTGTCATAAATTTTTTGTACATTGCTTGCTTCAGTAAAAGAAATAATATCTTCTTTAGAAGGCTTTTCATTAAAGACATCTCTATCACATTCTGGACTCTTTATATCCTCTGGCTCACGCCTTGTAAACATATAAAATCTATTTTTCTTATGAGCTGTACAAAAAAGAATTGGATCTGGTCGATTCATTTCCATTGTAGGATTTTCAGCAGCTTCCATTTCTACTGATACAGCTGCTGCAGTTTTTCTTGCTTTCCCCTACATATAAATATTTAAATAAACATAAACATATATAGAAAATTGAAAGAAACACATCATTGAAGAAAAGGTATACCTGAAATAAAGCTAATTGCATAGGACGTATATTTTCAGGTTTTCCCATTATTCTAATACATTTGTTTGTATAAAGATTCACAAGTTTAACACCTAACATTGTGCTATATAATATCATATAACCAGATTCATCAAAAACTATACTTCCTATATTTGTTTCGGTTTTATCTAACTCTCTTTCAACAGCCATTCTGAAAAATTTTCAATTATGAAGAATTTTAAATTATATTTGTATATCATGATAACAATTATATATTAATATTATGTAATACCTTCGTCCAAATTCCATGTTTGGTAATTGTTGTGTATTTTGTTGCAATTCAGAAAATCTTTGAAGACTTTCATCAAATATTCTGTACAATTTTCCAGTAAGAAAATTAAAAACTCTTACTTTCCTATCTCCGCTAAGAGATGCGAATCTTTTACCATCTGCAGATACTGCCAAACCACATGGATAAGTTTTATTTTTAGCGAATTCATATAAATCTGTGTCTAATTTTGAATCAAATTTAACACATTTTGGAAATTTATACTCCGTTTTAGGTCCTGTCCAATATTCTAGTATACCTGCCTTATCAACTGATATACATGTCTCATAAGCAGTATTATACTAGAATAAAATATAAGACATATGTTTAGGATTAGGAACACTTATATCCATATGTAATATTTGTAAATAAACTAAAATATTACCTTCATAAATACAACAGGTTTTGTGTGTAACTTTTCAAAAACATGCAATGCTGTACTAGTTCCTTGAGCATCATATATACATATTTTATTTGAATCTTGTGAAGATACAGCAATCACAGCAATTGCATCACCAGCAGAATATATCCACTCGGCACAAAGAGGGATAAACTCTAATTTTATCATATTAATCATATCTGTAAATATAATATTTCAATTATATAATGCAAGAAAATTCTTTTGAGGATTTAATTCCTATTTTATATTAGCAAAAAGATATGCTTACCAAAGTTAATTATATCAAATATTTTCATCGTTTTATCCAAACTAACTGTACATGCATGTATGCCATTGGAACTTGCTGCCAAATATTGTATGGCCTTCAAATGAGCTCTGAAGTGCTTTACAAATTCTATCAATTTCTCTTGCTTTTTCCAAAATTTTAAATGTCCATCACAACTAGCAGTAAGTATAAAATATGACCTATAATAACAAAATAAAACAATTTATTCTTATATTTTATAATAAAATCTTATTAGTTATATAAAAAACACTAACTTTGTTACCACAATGTGAGTTATTACATCTCTGTGCATATAAGATTTCTCATAGCATTCACAACATGGCAAATTACTTAAATATACTTGCTCATATTCCAACACTGTAAAAATAATAAAAAACTGAATAATAATATATAAAATGATATGGCAAATTAACATTTTTGATATTGTATGTACACAAAATTATATTAAAAAATTAAAGAAAATGAAATCAACGAAAACCTTTTTAATAATACAACAAACAGAAATAAAACACAAATAATCGTATAGAAATTAAATTCCAATATATTTATTAAATATATACAGAAATTTATTATAAATAATTAGGTTATGTATAAATGAACCTTTTTGTTTTTTCTTGGGTACCGTTTCCAAAAATAATTGATTAGCCCCATCGTCATCATTATCATCTTCATCCTGTTTTCTTTTTTCATTAGACATTATCAAAAAGAAAATTATCGTTCCTTATAATACTTCCAATCAGTTTGAATAACAACATACAGCGCCACCAATCTGCATACGGAAAATGTTTTAACTTCTATCAACTTTTCTACGTCGCATAACGGCACAAAGACGATCGATGGAACGATTCCTAAACGCGATATTTCACCGTGCGACGGATATTTTCTATATGTCCACATTTACATGGCGGTGAACCAAAATGCATCAAAATCGTGCATGACTACGTGCGTTAATAAAACAATTATCAAAAACAAGTAAACCGATCAAAAAAATCTGATCTGTTTTCCGCACCATCTAGCATAGTATTTTACATAAATCCATTTATTCAAAATCAAATATTGTGAAAACTTTCATAAAACAGACACGCAACGACAATCAATTCGATAGTATTCGAGAGTATCGACGATTGGTCGAAATAGATTCGCAAAATAACCATATTGCCTTTCGACCAATGACAATCAATGGCAATCATAATAACGATGATTTTTGACAGATGATTATCTATATAGAATGATCAGATTAGATTTTTAAGAGTCAATAAAATTATTCTTTTATATAATATCATATAAATACATAATTGTTTAGCTTATTTCGGCCATTAAGTCAAAAGGAAATTAAGGAAATTAATCACTGCGTGAAGCACGTAGTAGACTACGGAAGACTGATCGGTCAAGGTGGGGATTGGTGGAGGATAGAGTGGGGGGGAGGCAGCGTTCATTGTCGTAACGGGAGAGTTTGGCGGGCAGCGCAACGGCGATTGGCCGGTCTTCCTTCCCGTAGTCAATGGTCGCCGTAGCTGTTCGTTCGAGTATTCGGTTCAAGTTTTCACGAGAAAACAGTACTACCCACGACTCCCATCGTCCGGCGACTGCGTCGACGAAGCTCGAAAGGAGGAAGGATTCTTAACATTTACTCCATAACATCGAATCAGAGAAGGTGAGTCGAAAGATTTGGTTCGACTGAGGGAAAAGCCGCGATCTATAAAACCGCGAGGGGGGAGATAGATCCCGGAAAGTTTCTTTTACGGCGTACGGCTCCGCACGTGGTCCTCTCTCTCGGTCTCTTTGCACCGTGCTAGGATCTCCTCTTGGGGAAGAGCGTGGCTTATCGGACAACGGTGGTATACACGGTACATTCGTTAAAAAATCTAGGAACATCTTCAGTATGCGAATCGCGATTTTCGCGGGCCTTAGATTGCTTCGTCAAGTTCTCCTTTGCAAAGGTAAAAAAAGTGCAGTGCGGCGTCACTCTCGGATGCCATCTTCGCGCCGTGGCGTACCACCGCTCCATCGAGTGGGGGCGAAAGCCACGTTGTACGACAAATTATGATTTCTCGCTCGTATTTTTTTGTCTTCTCTTTCATTTTCTCTTTTCGTCGGTCGTGCCGGGTAATATATGGCCGGACGCAATTTTCTTTCCATGATATGTTGGCTCCTCTCTCTCTGTCTCTCTTTCTCTCTTTCTCTCTCTCTCTCTCTCTCTCTCTCTTTCTCTTCCTTCATCCTCTATCTTCCTCTCTCTTTCTCTCTCTTTCTCTAGCTCTCGCATTCGCTCACTCTTGCCACCACTCCCCTTCTCCTCTCATCTCTTCCCTCCCTCGGTTTACCGCCGGCTATATGGCAATCGGTGCGATGCCCCGTGCTGGGTTCGCTCTGTGAAACACGTGCGTTATGTTTTATCTTCAAGTTTAACTTCTTTATATTATTTTTTAAACTAGTCATTGTACAAGTCCTATTGGCCTTTTCGCTATTTTTCGCAACATCGTTGATTATAGGTCGTTGATCGGATACGAATGTTCGATAATGATGGACGGTCGTTACAATGGCGAGCAGTTCCGTGTACTCTGACATCTCCATGGTTTTTCCGTCTGCCCACGAAACTCACGAATCGTTACGAAATGTTTTTTCCTTTCATTGTTTTTTTTTCTTTTTTTTTTTTTTTTTTTTTTCCTTTTTTTTTTCTTTTTTTTTTCCCTGAATAATTTAATGGTACAGAATTCAAAAATTGTTCTAAGAAATATTTTCTCCAAACGGAACGCGTGCCATGGGCGCGCGTGACCGCGCTTTCATGGATCTACATTATGATAGATATCTACATATATCGACATGATCGAACTGGCTACTACATATTAAGATGACATAACAAAAGTTTGTTGGTATTTCATATTTGGACTCGGTGATTTCATCAGTATTTTTCGTAGTTTTCGAATATTATACTAAACATGTATAAACATATAATTAAGAATTGACAAATTTTATTATTTGCTTCTTTGAAATATCGAATTTTTTGTTTTCCACAAATTAGCTATTATGAAGTGAAGATAAAAAATATAAAACCAATCCTGATAACCTCATAATACAATGTATTTTTTAAAACAATTAATTTTATAACTTTTCGAATAAACTCATTGACTATAGACGGTAAATATTTTATATATAAAATTTATGATAATATACATGATTACAGCTCCATAAAAAATGAGTTCAAACGCATGTTATAAATGTAATCGAATGGGCCACTTTGCACGAGAATGTACACAAGGTGGTGGAGGCGGTGGCAGAGGAGATCGTGGCCGTGATCGAGAAGGAGGATTTGGACGTGGTCGTGATAAATGCTTCAAATGTAACCAGTTTGGACATTTTGCACGTGAATGTAAAGAAGATCAAGACTTATGCTATCGTTGCAATGGAGTTGGACACATTGCAAAAGATTGCCAGCAAGTTAGTATATTTATCAATTTATATCAAATAAGTTCGGTATTGTTACAGCTTATGAGAAATTTCTTTTATTTCGCTGTTTATAACAAAAAAAATACCAAAAAATAAAACTAACCTTTCTTCATATCTTGATGGATATATATTCATTGTCTGTTCCATTAGGGTCCAGAGATGAGTTGTTACAATTGTAATAAAACTGGACACATTGCTCGCAGTTGCCCAGAAGGTGTTAATGATTCTGCACGCTTTGCTATGCAGAGCTGTTACAATTGTAACAAGACGGGGCACATCGCTCGTAATTGCACTGAGGCAGGAGGTAAAATTTGCTACATTTGTGGCAAGACGGGGCACATAAGCCGCGAATGCGAGGAGGAGAGGAAGTAGGAGATAACCCAAATCCGTGCCGCTCGCTTAATGATAATGATAAGCCGTTTACCATCGTGCGCGCCACTACCGGGGATTGTAGCTAGGTAGGGATGTGCGGACGTTTCTCTCAGCGACGCGTGTTATCGCAAAAGCGTGTTCGTCATTACCGTTCGAATTTTCATCTCTCCATGCCCAACTCCCGGAGCTCCTCCCTCTCCCAAATCTCCTTCCCTGTGCCCACCGTTGTTCTCTTTCACATGGATTTTCTTATAATGTCTTTAAGTTTTTATTGCTGTTACACTACACCACACATCCGCGCGCGCACAAAGTACATTCACACACGAACACATCTACACCAACATTTACACGGAAACACACACACTATACGATGTAATATTATAAACATTCGATTGAATTAGAGTAGCAACATAAATCCTCTGTCCCTTGACCTTCAAACTATCTTGTACGTGAATTATTTCGTAATGCAAGATGTATGGATTTTGGAAGCATTAATGAAGTTCGCAAGGGCCACCATCTCTTAAAACTGTGTGACATTGATCAGTCCAACAGACTCTATCTTATCTTCCCTGGTATATTGAAAAGGAAATTTTATGAACTGACTGAAGGACTTTGTAATGTTAGAAAGGGATGTTATGACCGTGGGAATAATGGCAAATTTAAGTCATATTCCTTTCTCACATCCACGCATCTTGTATTCGGTCCTCCCTCTCAAACTCTCTAGCTGAATCACGTTAAATTTCAAAAGTAAAATGGGAAAGGAAAGGAAATATATAAACGTGCTGGCCCCGAATGCATAAAAATAAGGTTTAGTAACGCCAATTTTTAACGTGTAAGGATGTAACGAGGTTCGCAGAATGGTTATTTTTTAATAATATCTGCTTTCATAAAACTACAATATGATTGTAAAACATGCAATGTTTATAAATTCATAAATATAAAATAGTGCTGGACCATCATGTTTTAAAATCTGCCCAGAAAGCAGAACAATAACTATTTGTGTAAGATTAAAAATTGGTATGGCCATCTAAGATTGCTACGCTTTTTATGTGTATGTATGTATATATACACATGCAAAATTCATTAAAAGTTCAGGCATTTTATATACATTATCTCGAAAATATATAAAGAAAATCATCATTGTTCGTATTTCCAAATGATCATTATGATCTCGTATAGCAAAAAAATTACTGTATTAACCTTATAATATCCTTACATGTGGTGAAGTACTTCGTTACTAAATACATGTGTGTGTATATATATATGTGTGTGTCTCAAAATGTATATACATATATAGATACATATGCGCAGGAGCTGTATTTTGTACTGTAAAAAGCTAGTTATACTCTGGTCGTTGCTGGTGACTAATTCCGGTGGTTCTTGTTTTTTACATCGCAGAAAAAAAAAATGATATTTTCATGTAAAGTACTATATGAATCTTTTTTTTTGTAAGTCGCAAAGTGAAAATTCGTGAATAAGCTTTACATAATAACCTTGAGTATTTAATAGAAAAATAAAATATATCGCATAATATCAACTTGACTCATACTCAAAAGTTATGAATTTCACACGAAAAAAAACTAAAAAAGAAAGAAACGAAGTTCTAGCTGAAAGTTGTTACTTTTATGCGAGTACAAAACTATAAAAGTTTTCCTTGAGAATAAGGCATATATGTAAGACTATAATAAATGACGATTCGTTTGGTGGTTATACAATGTCTATAAATAATGAACAACAACGCTATTGGGATATGAATCAATCGAACTACCTAGTTCATTAATTAATTGTTCGTTCTATCGAATGAAGATACTCAAATTTCAATTGATGAAAGGAATGCACGTGGATCTGTATTTACTCTAGGTAGATTCAACATGAACATCCCACGCAAAATGCCATTAAATTATCGATGTTCTACGATATTTAAGTCAGTGTGTCGTTAAACGTCGTTTCGTTGAATGATACAAGCTGCTGGTGTCATAATGCGTGATTTGTACATGGAGAATCTGATTTTACCAGCAGCGACAATGTGTATTAATGTTCAGAAGCCAGGCGTGCCTGACTCAGTGGAACAGAAGCGCGCCTTGTGAGTTGTATTACATACGTAGTACAGGTGTCCTGCAAACAATTTTATACACTTAACTACTCGGGACTTAAACCGATCTCATGCATGGATTTCAGAAGTAGTAGTGAGTACTCAGTGCGCCAGTGCGTCTGACGAGATTTGGAGGATCAAAAAAAAAAAAAAATTATATTCTGCTATTGGACTTGAGTAACCTTTGGTGCTCTCACTGAATGTGCATTAAGAAAATTCAGGTTGAAATAAGAATTCGTCGTTACCAAAATATTTTTCGTTCTCTGTCGTGCGTTTTCTTATTCTTTTTTTTTTCCTTTTTTTCCTTGTTTTTTTTTTGTTTTTTTTTTCTTTTTTTTTCTTTTTTTTTTTTTTTTGTATATTGTTTAAGACGTAAGGATTGGGTTGTTAAGGATTGAATTTTTAAAAAATTTCATTCTTGAACACGTGATTCATAAGTCATGATCATTGGTGGCACCAAAGGTTCAAAGGAGCATTTAAAAAAAAGAGTGCGATTAGGGCACCTGCGCTTTTGTCTCTGCTACAAGACTTACGTACGAATATTGTAAAGAATACGACTGTTACAGTGTATGAATTAATTGGACCGGCGCACGCCCGGCCATGGCACGACTTATATTAAACTAATCTATTAATACTTAAAGGAAGAAGATGAAGAGGATGAAAAGGAAAAAATAAGCTACAAAGTAATAAAGGATTATGGAGTATTTGAAGTTATGTTTTTAAACTGAATTTTTGAAATAGAATGTGTACGGAGAGGCAAGTGCAGATCTTGTTTTTTCTGTTCCCTACACAAATTCATCTACCGATTCACCTTATAGCTAGCGTATGCATTAAATAGCAACTGTATGATAGCCTATGATATACTTCATGTATTATTATTATTTATGTTTCAGTTTGAAGGAAGGATTATTTACTACAAATAAAATTTAAATGTCTAATTTCTCTTAGTTACCGTCCCCTTTCGCATAGTTATCACCGCGTAATAATAACGTGAATTAAAGGTACTTTGTTATAAATATTATCTGTCATTATATAAAATATAATCTTTATTTGTCAATATATTCGGCGATCGAATTATAAATCATGATTTATTGAAATTACGCGAGATATTTTATAGCATATGCTGTCATGGCTACGCATCGGTGAAATATCGAATACGTTGCATGAGACATCAACTTCATACAATCATCGTTTCCTTTTTTCCTTTTCTTTTTATTTTTTTTTCTTTTTTCTTTTTTCTAATTTTGCTATTTACTACACAAAGTATTAAATTAATTTGATTTTATCAAATAATTGAAAAATGAGGAAGTTTGGTTATTATATATGACATAAATAAACGCTCAATAAATAGAGTAGTATTATCGATAATCCTCGAAAGGTTTCACCAATCAGATTCAACATTTAGATATCGTTCGACTCCAAAGTCGATCAACTGTGTTAAACAAAAATATTCACTGAACTAATTACGAATTTTTGTTTATAAATATAACTAAAGTACATCAATGAATATATATTAAAAATTATGCCTTTTGTATATCAGGTCCTGAAAAAACATTTACTTGTTATAGAATTTGTTTTAATTTTGATGAACTAATATGTATAAATTTTTAAATATTTGTTTAACGATAACACTTGGTCTATTACAAATAATATGGAAAAACATAATGGAATTGCGTATACTATATCACAGGTGGAATGATAAAAATTGTGTATGCATTTTATATTGTAGTAATGATTTTTTAGTTGTTCAAAAACCTTACGATATGTTTATAAATAGTAATAATCCAGAAAGGAAGGTAAGCAAAATTGAAAAGACACCAATTATACAACAATCAAGTTATTTATTTACTGATGATAATTATATTAATCAAGACAGTTATATAGGTTTGAAAATTTCAGAACACATTACAATTTGTATTAAAAAAAATGCTGCCAAATTTGGCTAATCCAATGTTAAGCCATGAATTTCATTTTGTGCACAGATTAGATTATGCTACAAGTGGCATTATTTGTATAGGTTTAAATAAACGTGCAGCACGTGCTGCTTCTACTGCATTTGAAAAACAACAAGTACAAAAATATTATTTAGCATTGTTACATGGTCATGTAAATGATTCATTTATTGTAATTGATAAACCTATTGGTTAGTGTTTATGAAAGTATTTATTATTTCAATCCAAATTAATATCTTTATTAGCTGTATGTTATATTTTTTTTGCATGATCTTAAAAATAACTTCTCAATCGAAATTCATATGCAATGAATATATAGTATATATTATTAGTATAAATTATTAAATAAATTGTTGTTTAGGTAATGATATAAGAGAGACAGATGGAAATAAAAAAATGTGTACAAGTGATAGCTTATTTTGTATAAAGCCAAGAAAGTCTCGTACTGTACTTTTGGTATTAGAATATGGTTTAAGAAAATCTAAACCTGCCACTAAAGTTTTGTTATATCCTACAACTGGTAGAAGACACCAGTTGAGAGTACATTGTTCGTCTATAGGTCATATAATAATAGGTGATTATACGTACAGTGAAAGACAAGATGTGGAGCCTCACAGAACATTTCTGCATTCTTTCAGGTACTTTCCGCATAGTCCAAGATAATATACTAATTATTTTTCAATAATTCATAAATATAATAATTTTTAAGGTTGATATTAAAAAATGATGTTGAAAACTTAGATATAAGGACAGCAGATCCTTTTATACCTACTGATACAGCAAATAAATGGCAACCAACAAATATTATTAGAATATTAGATGAAAATATATTTTCTGAAATTCATGAACTTGCACAATAAAAAATATCTGAAATTTTACATCATATGTTAAGATTCCACTATTATATACATTACTCTATTCCTTTAATTCCAGACGTATTTATCTCAAATTGTATGGTTTTACATGGCAAATAAGGTGATAAAAAGGTAGAAGCATAACGAATAGAGTCTTTTCTATAAAAATGTATAGAATTAGTTATCATGCTTGACCATGTGATTCCTAAAGCAGGTTGTTCTTTAATGTCACAATATTTGTTCTTATTTTCTAAAACTGCTGATACCTATAAATCAGTGCTTTGTAAGTATACTTATATAAATCTTTGTAAGTATACTTATAAATCTATAACTAGTATTTAATCTGATGTTACCTGATTAATACAAACTATAAAAATACCATTATTTTTACATAATTTATGTAGCTGCTGTCCTACAATTCTTAGACTTTTAGATCTATTTCTTGATTCACTATTCCATTCTTCCACTCTATATGGTGCAGCTATAGAATCAATAATTAGTAGACGTATTTTTTGTCTATTTAATAATACTGGCACTTTATGAAGCAAAGATGACTCTAAGTCTTCCTAAGTTTAAAAATTACATTTAAATACATCGCACAATAAAGTCAATAAAATAAATAATGATAAAATATATATCTTTAATCAAAGTTATATGCTTATATTTATAACTAAATAATACTTAATTACAATAGTTGCAATGTGTTCCACAAATATGATATCACCATTTATATTATCATATTCTTGAATGATATCTAAATTTTGAATTAATTCATGTAATCGTTTTGCCGGAAAAGCAGCTTCAGTAGAAATATATATCGCACCTATACAGTTATCGATGATAAAAAATAGTGAAATTATTATACACAATGTTGATAAGGAATATATGTAAATAAAATAACAAATATAATGATAAAATATACTACCAGCACCAAAGCCACCTTCAGTTAAAGGTAATTGTACAGTAAGACACAGCTGAAGAGCTAATTGAGTTTTTCCAGTACCAGCTGCACCATAAATTTGTGTAATACCCTGACAAGGAATGCCACCATTGAATATTTTATTTATTTTAGAGCAGCCAGTTGACAGAAATTTTTCTTGCTTCTTTAACTCCTTTGCACTTATCTCTATTAAATTTATATAAATACAAATATAAATATTTATATTATATAGTTTTTAAATTTGCAAATATCGAATTGTTTATCTAAAAATTATTTGCATTTTTTATTAGATTTGCATATATTGTATCTTTTTATACCTTTCTATTCTATATATTAGTTTAATGAATTTTAATAAAAATTATATAATATATAATACCAGAATATTCTTCCATTATTATTCGTGGAAACAAATATAAAATATAAACGATAAAAACGATTGGTAGCTCGAACTATCATAAAGATCGGAGTGTACTCGTCGATACATCCCAATGTACTTCTATATGTGAAGATTGTGAGTTTTGAAAAAAGATTACATATTTAAATCATTTTTTTTAGATAATAATTTACAATACACATGACACTGCAATGAAAGCACGTATAAAGACTGTTGTTAATGAAGTTCCCTAGAAATTTTCTAAATTTTTTTATTGTTTTTATTTATAACCTCTCCTTTTAAAAATATTATATTTTTATACATTTTGATTATTTATTAATTATTTTAAAATTGATTCTATTAAAAACTTGCTTGTTTAAAATTTGTTAGATCATATTCAAAATAGTATCTTCATATGCAGCAGCTTCCACATGGTTAAACTAATTGATGTTTTATATAATGTATTTTTTAATAAAATGCAACGTAATCATACTAAGTTTACTGCTACATTTTATTTTATGTCATGATTAAATTTGATTAATGTTTAACTATGTGAGGCTAATAAAATAAACGAATTTTAGTCTAAACGAATTTTAGTAATTGTAAGCTTGTTAATAATATTGATCATTTAAGAAGCTTACTATATCATCAAATAGTTTTAAGACTTCAGTAAACTTGCAAGATATTATTATAGATAGATATAACTAACAAGGTTTAAGTAAGGCTAATTTTATTATCCATATTACCATTATCAAACACATCATTAATAATACTATAGTTTTTCTTGCTATGTGCAGGTAATCCACGGAATAAGTTTTCTGTTATTTGAAATCTAGTTAAAGAATTACGTTTTGGAAAATGTTGATCAATAAAAAAGTCAATATCTTCATTATTATCAATTGCCTTCATTGTAGCCAAAAGTTTTTCTTTGTTGTAATTAATTGATTTTGATTTATTAACCGCTTTGTGGTCACTTTTATTGGTATTATTGTAACTTTTACCAGAGTTATTAGCTGTATGAATGTTGGATAATGACTTTTTTTTCTTATTCATTTGTAATGTAGTAATAACATCATTGTTTAGGTCTTCAGTAAATTCCACTTTGCTTCCATTAGATATTGTTCTTTGACCCTCCATTATGGAGTTTGTTGATGTATGTTGATCACTATAATTATTCTGTTGTAGTTCATCTTTTACCTTATCAATAGAATAACTAATATTGTCATATATTAATGGATTATCTTTATCAATTTCCGAATGTTTTATTTCTTGATCAAGCTTGAAATTAACTGTTGAATATTTTTCTATACCTTGAAATTCATCTTGTTGCAAAGACATAGAAGTCGTTTCATTTTCATCATAAGTATGCTGGGTATCCAATTTTAAATCAATTAAGTTTTCATGATCATTAATCACATGATTTTTTTCATCTTGTATATGCATATGACTTAGATTATATTCAAGATTATTCACTATAGTTTCTATGGAAGGATTTTCTACGTTTTTATGCAAATCACTTTGATATTCATAAATACTTTCATTTTGTAGCAAATTAACTTCCGAATTTGCATTATCAGTTCTTTGTTTAGTTCTTAAAACTTTTAAATCAATTTCGTTTGTCATATCATTAGTATTAAAATCTTCTGAACAAGAATCAGAATATATTTTATCAAATTTATCATTTTTGAATTTTACAGAGAAGCCATCTTCAATAGATTCTTCTTGGTTTGTTTTAAACTTATATTGATAATCATAATCTTTTTGATTTAAAATTTTAGCCTGCTTTTGAAAATTTTCATTATATATCTTTTTAGAAAAAAATTGTGCATTGGATTCACTCTCTTTAGAATCTATTATATAAGAAGTAAGATCATGGTCTGTATTATTGATCATCCTAGTAAACAGATTGTGTTTAAATTATTATATTATAAATAATTACATTAAACAATTAATATATTTTGAATTTTTAAACAAACCGTGTATGTAAATCCTGAGAATCTTTTATTGTGTTCATCAAATGATAATTCCTATTTTTATGTTCATTGTTCTCATGTTCACTATTAGAATAGTCAGAAAAATTATCGAATTGTTCATGCTGTTCTGTAGATACTTCATATGAATTTCCATCTACTATGCACTTATCCCCAGATTCCATCTCACTTGCTATATCATCTTCATTGTATGATGCAGTTTGTACATTTTTATTTAATTTTGATCCTGAATCTTTAAACTTTGGTGTTTGATCATCAAATAATGAAGATATCATATCCTGTGACATTGTTTGAAAATATAATTTATGAGTGTCCCTTGAACTTGTCACTGTTTCTGGACAAGGCAAATCCGTTTGTTGACTTGCATTTGTACTGCTAATAGTATTATTAATTATATCATTATTTAATTGAGATGTAATAAGTGTAGGCTAAAAGTAAAAGTTACAATAATTAAACATGAAGAATACTTCAAATTATGAAAACAAAAATTAATGTTTTCATCTAAATTTACCAAGTTATCGTTTTGTCCATCATTATATTTTTTATATTTGTTGGTCATAGTTATTGCAGTACTGAAATTGATAAAAATAACAGACACTAAGTGATAAAAATGACTGAATAAATAAGAAAAAATTATCTTTTAAGCAAAATTTATTATACCTTACGTTCCTCAAATTTGTAAGTGATTGAGTTACAAAAACTGTATTTTTTTTATCGATTAGTAATTGTTTTCTTGTTTTGTTACCTATTAAATGTTCTAAATCTTTCACCTTTTCAAGTGCTTCTTGTAAGTTTTTCTGTGTTTGTTTGTGTTTAGATATCTCTACAAATAGTTGATGTTTCAAACTTTTTCTTTCCAAGGCTAATTTTCTTTCTAACAACTTTTAAAAAATTGCAATACAAAGAGTAATTATTTAAAAGATTTCATATCTTTTAAAATAGAATATTTACCATTAAATATTGTGATAATATAGTATACCTGTATATTTTCTTGTTGCTGCATTATTTTGTGATTTAACTCAGAAACTTGCATCTGTAATTTTTCTCTTTCTGCCAAGTTTCGATCTTTACTGAGTTGCAACAAATGCTTATTTTGAGTCTACAAAGTATTAATCTCATAATAATAGAAAACCCATATATGTTCATAAAGATTTTTATATTTTTTTAGTATCATTGGATATATAATATGTATACACAAATAAGTTACTCACCTGCAAGGAATACAACTCATTTTCTTTTTCTTTCAATAAATCAGAGATGTTCTTATGTAAGGCTTTTAATTTCTTATGCTTAATTTGCAGTATTCTCAATTCTTCATGATGTGAATTAATAATTTTTGGTAGTTCAGCAGTAGTTCCCTCATAACGTCTTAATGCAGAATCTTGCCTTTTCTGCAATGCTTTCAACAGCCTGTTTTCATTAGCCAATTCCTCAAAAATAAAAGTAAAATTGTATTTATGTTGATTATTAATTTTTTAATTATCTTCTCACATTATATTTGTATAATCAGAAAATGATATATTTTATTATATCCACATATATTTACATTTAGATGATAATGTGCATCAGCAAGTTGATTTTGCAATTGTTTAATACGAAGCATTTTTGCAGATACAACTCTTTGAGTAAGATTATTTTTATTTGCAGGTTTTGCTGATATTGTAGTAGAACAGACTCGCATGGTGTTTTTATATGATTCTCCTATATAAATTATAGAATTATAATCTTCTGGATATTTTTATTCTTTACTGTTTCTACGTAGATAATTACATACTTTCAATATATAACATACCAAGCAAAGGATGCAAACATTTTTTATTTGATGATGGACATGTACTTCTACATAGTGAATAGCATTTTTTTTCTTCTATACTATTTGTGTTGCTGTTTTGCTTTCTGAAAATTATGTAGATGTCCATTTATATAAAAAACCATAAAAATTATAAATAGGTATGAAAGATCAATATGAAAATTAAGTGAAATGTACATATATCAATTTATTATGACACTTGAATATGGTATGATTGCTTTTGCCCTCTGCAAGGAATATTAGTTTACCTATCCACATTTTCATGAACATTCAGATGTACTACAGGCAATGTGGGCACTTCAGTTTGCATTTTGCAGTGATTGATTACACGTTACAATCGACATTTTAATTCTGCTAAAAACAACTCCACAGTATCAAAGAAGTATTCGGTTGTTAGAAACATACATAGCTGTGCGCGTAGTATACTATCATTCATTGTTATGTTAACTGGTTACCAAGGCAATACAGAAAAAATATTTTCGTAATCAATGATGTAATCATAGATGATAACTCTTTTTCAACCGCGCATGTTATTCTTTTTTTGTAAAGATTTGATAATTAAGAATAATAATAAATAACAGAATCTAAAATGAATTTGATTTAACTATTTTTGATATTTTTTTATGACATATATTAAAAGAAATTATATTAATAACTAAAAAGAAATTATATTAATAACTAAAACTAAACATGTAATTAAATATATTGGATATAAAAATATATTAAACATATATATAAGCAATTTTCGGTCATATTCTATTGTATAAGAATTAATAAAATTTGAAAAATAAAATAAATCATTTTTTTATTCCAAAACAAATACTACATAATATTTACATCATTTTTGTTGCTAGTATGTACACTTAATATATACATATTTTATTGAATAAAATAAATAAAGATATTGGCAGTTTTATATTAGTCAACAGCATTAAAATACATAATTAATAATGTAACATTTCTATGTTAAATGAGAAAACAATTATTTTTATTATTTCAAAACATTTGATATTTTATTTTCACTGCATGTTTTTAATTAATTATTCCCGCCAGTTCTAATACGTTCATGTGTTTCGTCCGAATATGTTTGCATGCCAATATTTTGTGTTTCCCATAATTTATTATACAGAGAATTTGGCATTGATAACAGAGCAGAATGTGTTCCACTTTCCACTAATTTGCCTTTATCTAACACAAAAATTTCATCTGAGTCTATGACAGTGGATAAACGATGTGCAATCACAATTGATGTACGTCCTTTTGTAGCTCTACGTAATGCTTCTAATATTTTCTGTAATAACATAAATATCATATAATAATTATAAAGAAATAAATATTTTTGTAATAATAAATATCGAAAGATTTAAAATAAAAATAAATATTATATAGTTACAGTTACATATTCTTACATTTTCTGTAATAGAATCTAATGAAGAAGTAGCTTCATCGAAAATTAATATAGGACTGTCTTTTAAGATTGCCCTAGCAATTGCTACTCGTTGTTTCTCTCCTCCGCTCAATTTTAGACCACGTTCTCCAACAGGAGTTTCATAGCCTTGTGGCCATTTTAAAATTGAATCATGTAGATTTGCCATTTTAGCAGCTTCATAAACTTCTTCTTTTGATTTACGTAAATTACCATAATGAAGATTATAGAAAATTGTTTCATGGAAAAGTACTGAATCCTGTCATTCAAAATAATTTGTTTAATCATTATTTAGAATAAATTATTTTTTTCATATTAAGTTATACCATACCTGAGGTACTATAGCTATGGATTTTCTAAGATCATTTATATCAACATCTTGAATATTTTGACCATTGATCAGAACATTTCCGCTTTGAGGTTCAAAAAATCGATAAAGCAGTCTTACTATTGTGGTCTTACTGAAATTAATATATTAATATTAAGATTTTTGGAGGAAAGTAAATATTTATAAAATGAGTATTATATCTTACCCACAACCAGATCCTCCTACAATAGCAATTTTTTTTCCACTTGGAATATGAAAAGATATATCTTCAAAAATGGGCTTGCCTTGTACATATTGAAAATTAATATTTTTGAATTCAATATCAGAGTTGTTCTGTTCAATATTCAACCTTATAGCATTTTCTTTTGTCTGTTAACATATATTTTTATATTGTGTATTATATATACAATATAAATATATGTACGTATTATTTTAATATTGTGTATATTATATCAATATAACACTTCTTTTTTAATAATTTCTGTAATTAGTTAGAAAAGGATAATTTTAAATAAATGTTAATTCAAAAGTACCTTAATATTAGTGTCCATTGTCATCAAAGTGAACATTGTCTGCATATCAATGAAAGCTTGTCTCACTTCTCGATAAACAGAACCTAGAAATCCTAAAGGTATTGATAATTGAAATAACAAGCCATTAACCAGCACTAAATCTCCAACAGTCATAGTTCCTAAATATAAAAATATCAATGTATCAATTATATTGTTAAACATTGCCATTATAACAGTATCAATTCTTATATTAAATATGAAAGTAGAATGTAGTACATAAAAGCATATAAAAAAACTAACAGATCTATGTTACCATTCATAATATTCTTTGTTGTTAATATCATTATAAGACTTAAAGCAATACTAAAGATAGCATTTTGTCCAAAATTTAGCATAGCTAAACTTGTATTCGTTTTTAACGAAGCTATTTCATACTTTTGTAATGATTGATCATATCTTTCTGCTTCGAATTTTTCATTATTGAAATACTGTAACAATATATGTTTATTTTTTATTGTAAACACATTTCATATTAAACAAAAATAAAAAAGATACTAGAAAGATTTACCTTTACTGTTTCATAATTAATGAGTGAATCTATTGCTTTATTTCCTGCTTCGTTTTCCGCTTGATTCATATATATTCTAAATTTCGTTCGCCATTGAGTAACTCCTAATGTAAAGGCAGTGTAAATACCAACGCAAGCAAGTGCTAAATTTGCATATTCAGCCCCACATTTTATACCCAAAATAGTACTAACTAAAGCTAATTCGAAAACAGTAGGTACAACATTAAATACCATGGCTGACAGAACAAAATTAATACCACGACTTCCTCTATCTATTATCTATATATTAGACATACAAAATATTATAATAATAATTATTAATATATAACAATATAAAAAATATTTGTCATATATATTTACCTTAGATAGTGCTCCAGTTTGTCTAGATAAATGAAATGCTAAATCAAGATTATGCATATGTAGAAAAACATTCTTAGCAATTTTTCTAATTGAATGTTGTGCAACTTTTGCAAATACTGCATTTCTCAATTCACTACAACCAGCTGCACCAGCACGAGCAATTCCATCTATTATGAATAATAAAGATCATATAGATCCCTCTTTATATTTTAAATATTTATCATAAAAAAAATATAATATGTATTCTTACATCCTATGAGTAATGAAGTTGCAATTGTAGTAATAGTTTCAGGTGCACTTCCTATACTCAACACAGCCTCACCAGTACTTTCAATGCTATGCTTGTTCAAAATATCCACAGCATATTTAAAAATAAAAGGAACAGTTACATTTAAGACTTTTGAACCAATCAATAATCCAACTGCTATCTTAACTCTTTTTTTAATTTCTGGATCATCCTAAGTAATATTTATAGAAATAAAAATTAAGATCAATAATTGAATTTAAAGAATACATATTTCCAACTATTCAACTTACTTCTGGCCAGATGTATTTGAGCATTGCCTTAAGCATATCTGTAGAACTAACTGATGATTGTTCTTTGAATCCAATTGCATCTCTGCTTAAACCAGATACACCTGGATGGAAACAGTTTCTTTTCTGTTGTCCTGGCTTTCCTCCAGTTATACCCGTAACTGCTAATATATATTTAACAGGGGAGACAACTGATTTTGATTGTGGAACATTTTTCTTTTTTTGTGCCCGATCTATTACATTTCCAGTGCAGCACTGCAAATTTATAAAAAATTTTCATTTTTATTGCAGACATTATAAAAAGTTTATTTAGTATGAATACTGAAGAAAAATATAGTATCATTTAAAATTAATATTTTAGATTCTTTTATTCTTTTTTATGTAATATATATTTATTTCAATCATTTTACATATATGTATACTTCTTAAATATAAATAAACAAAATTGTAATAATTATCTATTACAAATATTTATATATAAACAAAATGCATATTTTGTTAATTATGTTTTATTTACTGTATTTTACTTAGTATTATATATTTTTCAATGATTCGTCTAATATTTGAATATATTCTCTTATAAGACTTAATGCATTTAAAAAACTTTGACTGCATTTCTTAACATTATTCATATCATTTAAATAACTTAAATACTCTTTTTTTTTTAAATGTAAAATTTGTATACCTAAATTATGTATTTTAATGTGATCTTCTGAACTAAAAGATGCTCCATATATTCTGATATTCCAAAAATCTTTTTCTATAGTAGTACTTGCAATGAATAATGTGATAATGGCATTGTAATTCAGGCCATCTCTTGTAAAAGACATGTTTTTATTGAATTTGTTAGAAACAATAAATTTTAATGCATACTCTGATATAGTAACACATGATTGGATATCAAGTATATTAAAAACAACTTCATCTAATAGATTATTAGGAATAAAAAAACCATAATCTATATATAATTTAAGACTGTTATGTGGACCATAATTAATAAAAACTTGAGAATTCTTTTCAAATGGTTTAAGAGTAGTAATTTGGTAGAATTTATTCTTATGTTCATCTGTTATTAATGAAACTGATACAGAAGCATTTATATCATGATTGAATAAATCTAAAAATGGTGCCAATGCCAAATTATTTGGTGATTCTATCTTTATCACACTATCTTGCACTTCTCTTTCATTTATATATACAGATCTAGTATTTACAACATAATAAGCCCACCTATATTTATTGAAGGTCATTATTTTGTCAAGAGGAATATTACAATGAGAACAATAATTTTTGTCATCTTTCTTTAATGTTTGTAGACTTTGCATTAATAAAGAAAAATTTCTTACTATATTATGTACATAATACATGTGTTCTCTAATAAAGTTAGGTAAAAGTTTCTTTTCTTTAGATGTACAAAATTCTGGTGTAGAAAAATATTGTGGAAGTGAATTTATATAGGGATACCATTTTGATGAAGTTCCCAAATGCTCTTCATATATTAAAAATACTGAAAGTATATGTTGAGCATTATAACTTTGATCCTTTAAAAATAGAATTTTAACATCACATTCAGATACAGTAAATGTCGTTATTAACATTTCTATAGGTAATTTTATCAAAATTTCATGTTCTCTTATATCTTTTATTGTTTTTAAACCTCTACCAGTCATAGGAAAATTAGTAGGAATAAAGTTTGTAGTAGAAAAACAGTTTCTAAATAACCAATATTTTAAGAAATTCATATCATCATTTTCTTCAGATTTTAATTTTTGCATATGAAACTTCTTCTTTCGATGGCGTTTCCGTGATGTAC